CCAATCATTGCTTGCTACATTCGTTTAACCAGTGGCCAATGGCGAAACAAAAAATAACCATTTCAGCTTGAAAATCGTAATAGTGTATTCCTTGTCATCTTTCTCTGCGCGCCGGCAGCGGTTAACTTCAAGACAAGTTGATAAACAGGATAAACATAAAGACAAACTAATAAGACAACCGGCCACCAGGACCAGCTCTGAGGGCTGGCGCTGTACCGTTTCAGCCGCCGAGACGACACTGGCTCTGTTCCGCCAGAGCCTGGCCGGCGAGGAGAGCTTCAGCAGGACCGTCCCCCACGTCTTCGTCATTCTCGGAGCGTCGGTGAGACATGGCCGCCTCGTGCTGCTCTCTGGTGCAGATCGAGATCACAGCCTGGTCTGAGGCGTCCTTCAAAGATATCGAGCCGAGGTCGTCACATCACATACCTTTCATTCATTAGTTTGCATTTTTCTTTGTCCGAATCGAGTGTTTTTGACGCTGCCTCTGACATTGAGTGGTTCCACTACGTATGACTGAGACGGTCAGGCGGTATGCACTTTCGACGGACGGTGTCTTTGGAATAAAGAAGGGCTAACGAGCCAATCAATTTCAGGGAGATCTGGCCAAGAAGAAGATTATCCGACCATCTGGTGGTTATTCCGTGACAACCTGCTGCCGGAGAAGACCCAGCATAGTTGGCTACGCCAGGTCAAGCTATCTGTTAGGGAGGTCAGAGCCAACTGTGATCAGTACATGAAGGTGAGCTGGCTGATCATAATGCAGATTTCTCGTCATGCAACACTGCGTAAGAAAAAACAAACCTTCAAACTTTGAGTTCTATCCGCCCACCGCAAAAGGTGGGATAATCGTCCGGAGAAGCATTCGTTGCGCCAGTTTCTTGTACAGCATTTAATTTTTGTCTATTTTGATTATTTGAAGTGAATATTCAGGCACTGTTCCGCTCATATGCAGCCCGATATTTTCCTCGCGCGGCAGCCAGCATTGCCACAGCATTGGTTCACCCCGTGGCCGCCAGGTGCGGCCGGAGGACCGGGAGCGGTACGAGCAGTTCTGGCGGGTGAACCGGTACGTGGCCGGCGCTTACGACGCGCCAGCGTCGTTCGCGACGCTCGACCGGGCCATCGGCGAGCTGGAAAGTGGCGGCTCAGCCAACCGGTCTTCACCTGCGCCTTCCGCCGTCGTGTTCGCGCCCGTCACCACACCAACTTCAAGGCCCAGTGCATGGCCAAACGGTGAGGCGCAGCCCCCACTGTGGCGGGTAGGCATGGATACGACCGGACCGCTCCGCACCAATGTGGAGGATTTTAAGACGGCAAAGGACTCGGAGTTTCTTCAGCGCAAAAAGGGGTTCAGTGGCGGCTGGGGCAGGTTCGTAGCTACATTTGGTAGGACATGCATCTTTTACCGAACATTGATTGAAAACGCCTAAATGTAAAGGCGTTCAGTAGGCAGCCATGTAACCCATTTTGCATGAGTCTGTTGACTTTCAATGCAACGTATAATGCGTTTGTAAATGTACATGTAGCACTCCAAATCACGTCTATTTCAGTTTAAACGTATTGGATTTGTCTGTATCTTTACCGTTCCAGATCGATTGGTCTGATCAATGTTTTAGTGCCGTCCAACGCCGCTACGTCATTTGGAATATCGAAAATTGCCCTGTACAGTCAGCTCAATCTATGGATTGGTTCGCGGACTTGGTTTTGCAGCCATTTAGTGAGGGATCTTCCCTGTGCTCTATTCCCTGGCTCCTCACGCTGGCGGCTTCCGCCGCCTTCGTCAGGGGCTGGAGCCGGATCATCGTGGAGAAGCCGTTCGGCCGGGACGCGACAGCTCAGCCGAGCTGTCCCGACACCTGGCGGCGCTCTTCAGCGAGGAGCAGATCTACAGGATCGATCACTACCTGGGCAAGGAGATGGTCCAGAATCTGATGACGCTGCGGTGAGTGAGCTGAACGCAGGTCAATTCAGCTCAGAAGGCCAGTAGTACATTCAACGCGGCTCGTAGGAGGGAGATGGAGGACCTCGTGTTCATGCAGTGCCGTGGCACTAACTCACAGTCGTAGTTGTTTGAAAATAAAGGTACACTTCTGTACGTTATTCGTACATCTGACGCCGGTTTTCATCTGACCAATGGACACTGACTGCATTTAAAAGATTTCTTACGTTCTTTCTTCTTCGGCAAGGTGCATTTCCATGCCGGGAACGCTACCATTGCTGTCAAGAAAACACTGAGAAATAGACGGAAATGTGTGATCAGCCTTGTCACGCACCATAATATTAGTTTCACACCTTCGTTTGACAGTCATGTCATTGCACATTGAAGGCCGGATATCATGGTCATTTTACCTCACAAGATCTCAGATCGGCACAAGTACCCATTGTACTGATTTGCTTATGTGTTTGTTAGTTAATGTAGCGGATGGCGACCGTTTGCATGTTCTCGAGGCGTATATTCCGATATTCGGGCAGGTTTGGCAACGTCATATTCAGTCCGACCTGGAACAGGGACTACATCTCCAGCGTGCACATCACATTCAAGGAGCCATTCGGCACAAAGGGCCGAGGTGGATACTTCGACGAGTTCGGAATCATCAGGTGCGACGGTTGTGTAGAGCAGCACACGCACAGCGTGTGGAACACGCGGGTTTTTGTTCGATGACGCTCAACAGCTCAACGTTTGCCCCATTTGGTGGCCAACTCATCAGGGACGGCGGGGCGGTGTTTGTGTGTGTGTAATAGGTAAGGATAGGAGGAGATGCGTATTCGGATCGCAGCCTTGACTGGTCTCCTTACCTGGAGCTTAAAGGAAAACTAACAACTCTAATGACCTTACCCGGCACTTCGCTCACCCCCGTCAGCCATTTGGAGGGTCATATTAAAACGACATGAACTTTGAGTCATTCGCCATGGAGCACGATTCTGGAGGTAGGCACGTGCTTGTTATGCACCTATCTGATATCCTGTTTGAGAAGCGCATTGTGCATCATCATTTATTGGGGTTGAATGCAAAAATTCATGGTGCTGAGAAATGAAAAACATGTCCTGTTAAATTTTTATGTGAGTGTCATACTGGTTCTGTCATCTCTTGGTGAAACACCGAGTTTTAAGCAGCGATCTTGTGCACCAAGTATTCACGATATTCGACGTGCAGAATTATTCATCCGAACGGCATTTACTTAACAGCAATGGTGGGTACAACGCATTGTATGCACCTCATGCACCTCATGCACCTCATGAAACGCAAGGTCCATGTATCGATTCGTGAGTTGATTCCAAAATATGCCTCCCAGCGCTTGGGGTGATTCATCTGCGTTTTCTGTCACCTCCCCAGGGATGTCATGCAGAACCACCTGCTGCAAATCATGTGCCTGGTAGCCATGGAAAAGCCCTGCTCGGCCTCAGCAGACG